GGCTCTAACACTAGCTTGCTCTATTCTTTTTCTATTCTATCTGTTTTCTTTTTATTTAAAAGCGTCTGCTAAATGACTATTTCTGAAGGATCATGTGACACTGAAGACTGGAGTAATGATGCTGAAAATTCAGCTTTGATCACCGGAATAAATTACATTTTAAAATATATTAAAAAGGAAAATACTTATTTTTAATTATAATAATAAATCACTGTATTTTTGATCAAATAAATGCAGCCTTTGATAAAAAAAATTAAGGTTCAAAATAGGGCTTTTTTTATGGTGATGCACAGAAGAACCATTCGGTGGTTCTTAAAAGAACCGTTTTGTTCATAGTTTGATGGACATTTGTGAACCTGGACCACAAAACCAGTCATAAGGGTCAATTTTTTTAAATTGAGATTTATACATCATATAAATCATCATTATGCATCTGAAAGCTGAATAAATAAGCTTTCCATTGATGTATGGTTTGTTAGGATTGGACAATATTTGGCTGAGATACAACTATTTGAAAATCTGGAATCTGAGGGTGCAAAAAAATCTAAATACTGAGAAAATCGCCTTTAAAGTTGTCTAAATGAAGTTCTTAGCAATGCATATTACTAATCAAAAATTACGTTTTTGATATATTTACGGTAGGAAATTTACAAAATATTTTCATGGAACATGATCTTTACTATCCTAATGATTTTTGGCATAAAAGAAAAATCAATAATTTTGACACATACAATGTATTTTTGGCTATTGCTACAAATATACCCCAGCGACTTAAGACTGGTTTTGTGCTCCAGCCAGGGTCACATTAAAAAAAAAAAAACACTATAAAGAACCTTTTGTGGAATGATACAATTCCATGGATAATAAAGAACCATTTTAAAAGTGTTGATGAACACAAGAGACTTCTTGGTAGTATATGAAGAAAACTTGCCCAATATGTGAAGCACACAATTCACCTTGTTTATATAGTTGTGAATGCATGTCAGCGTGGTTTTACAGTTTTTTTTGTTTTTTTAAATTGGTTTGGTACTATTTTCCCAAGTAAGGTGTACATTTTCAAAACTCTTAGTACAAAACTTTAAACTGATCACACTTGTAACACCGCTTATCATTCTTTCAAAACCTGATCTCATGATAGTTGCGCATATTTTCATCATTGTTTCAAAACACAAGATCATTGTGATATGTATTGAGAACATTTGAATTAATCACCAAAACACAACAGTATGATCTTCTTTCAATTTAGTACTTTTAACAATCAGTTCATTCAAGAGCAAACAATGCGAGATTCATGTTTCAAATCACATTTGTTGCTGAAATAATTACAGTAATACAGGCAATAACTGTAATGTTTTTATATACAGTATCACATGGCATAATGTAGTGTAAAATGCTGTATTTGATGCCATCTGTCTCCATTCTTCTGAATTCAGTTCCTCTCCCTTGTGTCCTGCTTTATGTTCACAAATAGCAAAACACATGGTTTTACAAATGAGGACATCCTCAAAGGAAGGTTTTAGGTGATTTTGTCAAGTTTTGCTTACTTTGATTCACTGATTAACTATCAGTGATGAGTTAGATTAAATAATAGACAAATGTATTAAACTGAATGAGAAGTCATACTAATGAAAAGTTTGATAGTAATAGCTTTATGAAAGTGAATGAAACACTTATTTTGTGTAGTGAAAAGGATATTTTGTGATTGTGTGTATTGTACTAACACAATTCAAAATATGCTGAACTGTTTGAAAAAAAGTGCACTTTTGATGATCTGTTGCGATATTAGTACTAAGAGTTTTGCAAATTTATCAATTGCTTGTGAAAATTGCGCCAAAAAAACTGTAATGTGTTCATTTGTTTACCCAAAGGATTATATGATGACTACAGTCTAGTTTGGAGGACAGTATATTCAAAATCATAAAATTTTTATTAAAATACACAACACATTCATATAACTGGGCTGTTGACTCAACATCTTCAAGTTTCATGTGACAACTTGCCCCAGTCTCCCTTATATATGTGAATGCTGATTGGAATGCTTACCATTAAGAAAAGAAGCTGTAAAGGTAAGAAAAGACAACAATCCCCAGAATCAAACAGCAAAGCATGATCATCATTTTCTTCTACAGAGAGAAAGACGCATGTGTATGAGACAGTAAAGACAAATAATAGAGAACAGGAGTAAGTTAGAAAAAGCCCATAAGAAGGGAAATAAATTCATGCCACTAAGTTCTCACGTCTACTAAAAAAAATCATGCACAATTCTTTTAAAATGACAGAAGGGAGAAAGAGGAATAAAACAAAGGAAAGGTTTAGTCTGTGTCTAGCAAGCACTCACTTACCATCAGGTGTAGAGCACATTCATAAATACAAACCAAACAAGAAGTTCTTCTGTGCTTCCTAATAACATGATTCTGCTTTTTGTGCAAAGAATATACGTACAGATCACAAACCTGCTGATATTACCTCAGTCACTCAGCTGAGCCTAAACCTGCCCTGCCAGCTTCAGACAGGGGATCTTACTGAGGCTTTTAACTTCCTCTGTGTCAGTCAGTAAAGGATAGTTCAAGGCTAAACAAAGTATGAAAGCTTATATTGTCAACAACATAACAGACCTACTGTCATGAAATGACTTGTCACCAAACAGTTTCCATGTGTAGAATATTACTGATAATGCACAGATACTGTATGTCTTCAAAAAACAACAACAACATATGTCACATGACATCACAAACATCTTAAGTTGGAGAATACATTATAGAATAAAATTAGTGTCTTAAATTAAGAGGCTGCATTTTAAGACCAGATGTATCACAACGGTGCGATGAAAGCTGTCCTAAAATGCATCCTTTGTCTCCCGGTCAATGAAGGATACGAATAATGAATCCTTCATGGCCCAGACTATCCCAAGATTCATTGTGCGCTGGTGATGACAGGATTTGTTACATTTATTTATTTTGCGAGAGAGAGAGAGAGAAAATGCCAGATTTCACTTTCAACTTAATCCAATCTGATGTTACAAAAAAACAAAACAATTTAAATATTGACATGATTTTATAGTTAGTTGAGACTTTTTATTATCTGCATAAATGGACCAAGGTAAACATATTTAGACAGGTTGTGAACCATGCAATCTTCTGACGGTCTCATTTAACAACGCTTGGTTCAATCTTTGCAGCCTTTGAAGGCATGGCCCATATATCCCATTCTTTCACAATTAGGGCTGTGCAATATATCGAAATTATCGAAATATCGAAAATGTACATGTCGCAATATGCATATCGCTACAGCTTGCAATATTTGGGGCCATGAACAAAAGACAAAGAGAAAATCACTCACTGCTCTTACCTAAATAACCTTTGTAGTTTAAATAAGAATCAGTGCATATTGAATTCAAAGAGTAAATACTAAGCAGTGTTTTATTTTTCCTTTTTATTATGATCGTATTGCATATCGAATATCGCATTATTTAAAGGCAGAGTAAGTGATTTCTGGTAGCCAATGTTGATATTTGAAATCACCAAAACAAACACGCCCCTACCCCAAAAGGGTCTTGCCCCTATTTTGATAGCTCCGCCCCTCATATACGTACGCAACCCAGGCAACGATTCGTTCTGTGAAACAAAGCAAAACCAATGTTACACCGTGTCTACGGACGTGAGCGGCGCGGCGCAACAAATCCCCGACAGAAAACTGCTGCGGGGTTCTATTTATGACGTGCTGACACCGATTTCAAATGGTTTTCAACGGTCGTTTGATCGCGTCCAGTGTAGGCAGACTTTAGTTGTTGTAGACACGGTGTTACTCACCTATTGAGAAGAAACAAAGCAACCTCGGCGTCCGATCGCAGGCCTCCGCTCCTTGAGTTCTCTCCAGCGCTGGAAAGCTGATCTGATATTTACACGGGTCCTACTTCTTGCCTTATCGTTCCGCAGACGTTTTCCTCTTTTGTTTTTTATCCGCCATCTCTATCTTTCTGTCGCTCGACTCGGCTAATGTCCGTCCCATGCACTGAACGCGCTCTCCTCCACATCACGAGTAGACACGCCCCTTATTGCTGATTGGCTACAAGTTTGTTTTGCGATTCGGCCCGAATCAGTTTTCTAAAGTGTTTTTGAAAAATCACATACCCTGCCTTTAATGCGTTATCGCATATCGCATTTTTCTTCAATATCGCACAGCCCTATTCACAATGTACTTAATAAATGTATTTTGTTAGAATGTGCCTGCACTTCACTTTTTCAACAGTTACACTGGCATTCCTCTCCTTTTAATAATTTAAGGTAAATTTAATAAACAATTGTATAAAGCAATCCCTTAATAAGAGATCTAGGAAACATTTTCTAAAAATCTGATTTATCTACAGAAATGAAATTATATTGTTTGGACCACATGGTTCAAAGGTCAATTTCTAAATAGATCATAGTAATCCATTTTTTGACAGATAAAAATATTGTTCTTGGCACATGATGCACAAAAGTGCTCTGAATGTGCTGCGGTGCAATGATATTTGCTAGCAACATTTTTGCAAATATCTTCAACTCTGTAACATTCAATCGCAAAACATTTTAATATTTTTTAAAAATTAACATATTTTGATTTAATTGATAATAATTTATTACAAGGAACACTGAAACTAAGTGATACTTATAATTTGAATAGATAACTAACTAGTAAATGTAAGTACTGTGATGAGATTTAGCACTTTAGGTTTGGGTTTTTAATAAATTTTTTCCTGGTCTGTAACCACATATTTATGACTGGGAATAACAGTTTAAGTAATAGTGTAACTATTGAACCCATACTCGCATATAAACCCATATTCGCTGACTGCTAAATATTAATATTATTTATTATATAAACTAATGACAGTTTTATGATAATGATTCCCATGAATCCATCCATTAATTTCTCAAATATTAACAAAATACTTAGAAAACATATAATGTAATTTATTCCTTTGGTTAAATCCCATACAGACGTTCATCACATTAAAAACATACACATGTGGATTTCTTCCATTCTGGACGACCCATCAAAGCTTAGCTTATTGTGTTCATTTCACAGGGATCCAAAATAGAAGCTGAAATCATATCTGAGCCCTTTTGATCAGGAACAGTTCAGTAGCTCAACCAGCAGATGTAGCCATTGATGTGTCTTATGAAAACACAATCCAATAAAAACAATAGGTTACATTTCCCTTGTAAGTCTCATAAAAATCCCTTATTCTGTGCTCATGGATTTAAAATGTGCTTCCTTCAAACGCCATTCCTGGCATATAGTAGAAGTTCCTTCACGTCCTTACAAAAAAAACACAATCTGTTTCCTTGACCATCACTAGGGTTCCAGCAGAGTAGATTCCCATTGGTTTGTGCTGATGAAGGGAGGGGCCACAGGTACAGGGGGCGGAGCTTTCATCTTGACGTACTTCCAAGGAATAACAGGGAGGATGGAAAGGAGTGGAGGAAATGATCATCTATAATAATAAAGAGTTCATGAGCAGCCACAGAGGTTATCATAGAACCTGTGTGAGGATGATGATGAGGATGATGATAAGCACCACAGCACCAATCACACCCAGTATGATCATCTTCTACAAGAGACGAAAAAAAAACATGATCCATTAATCCAAAAGCAACCATCTAAAGTCTTCAACCCTTCACCACCATAACAAACAACAGAGCCTAACAGAACCAAAACGCACCGAGAACATAGAAATGAACTCCACTGTCAAACCAAAGGATGCTCAGGAGATCCCAAAGCCCAGAGAAAGCATACTTTACATCCCTGAGGAAGACTAGAGAAGATCAGCTAAAATCCCGGTCACCAGCTCCATGTCTGCATAACATCAAGCACCCACACCATTCCCAGTTCCCAAACCTTACACATGTTCCTCTGAAATGTACTCACCAGAGCCTTTATCTCAGACCTACAGATAAACCCACTATCAAAGCAATAACTGCCAAAACCGCCAAAACCACAGACACTATAATAATGATTTTCTGTGAGGAAACACACATACAAACACATCTGTTAGCATCTACTTTAACATTTGAGTAACAAATAAACAGCTCACTCAGATATAAAGACACAACATCCAGTCTGGTCCAAAACATGATCTTTGATGGAAAGATATTCATTTATGATATTCATTTCAGGACTAGGTATTGCATTTATGGAAAAGACAAAGGGTTAGTTCACCAAAAAAATGAAAATTCTGTTATTAATTACTCACCCTTATGTCATTCCAAACCAGTAAGATCTTAGTTTATCTTCAGAACACAAATGAAGATATTTTTGATTAAATCTGAGAGCTTTCTGACCCTCCGTAGACAACAATGCAACTTACACGTTCAAGGCCCAGAAAGGAAGTAAAGACATCGTTAAAATAGTCCATGTGACATCAGTGGTTCAACCTTAATTTTATGAATCTACGAGAATACTTTTTGTGCACAAAATAATGACTTTATTCACCAATTTCTTCTCTTCCATGTCAGTATTCCCCAGAGTACCACGACGCATGCGTGTGCATTTCTTTGCCTGCAAACAAGGTGCAGCGCATCTGGGTTCTACGTCAGAATCCTCCTGAGCCGGCAGCCCCACTGTCGTGAATGCATGTTGAAGACTGACAGGGAATAGAAGAAACTTGAATAAAGTCGTTATTTTTGTTTTCTTTGGACACAAAAAAGTATTCTCTTAGCTTCATAAAATTGTCAGATGGACTATTTTAACGATGTCTTTACTACATTTCTGGGTCTTGAACGTGTCAGTTGCGTTGCTGTCTATGCAGAGTCAGAAAGCTCTCGGATTTCATCAAAAATATCTTAATTTGTGTTCCGAAGATAAATGAGGGTCTTACAGGTTTGGAACGACATGAGGGTGAGTAATTAATGACAGAATTTTTATTTTTGGGTGAATTATACCTTTAATGTCTAGAAAACTATCATGGAAGATTCCAAAAATATATTCACATTTAAAAAGAAGAAAGAAAGAAAGAAAGAAAGAAAGCTTGTGCGCCACTCATCATATTCATAATTTTCAACCCAAATTACTTTCTTAATATGATGTATTTCCAGATGAACCTCAGGGAATCTCAGAATTTGTCTCTTCATCTTTGATACGCAGTTTCCAAACATCTGTATTTTGTACATCTTGATATCTGTCTTGGTTTACATTCCACGCACAATAAACCTTCATGTTTAATCATAACTTGTTGCAGTTTTGATTAATTGTATTACTTTTGTATTCTTTGTAGCACATTTGTTCATGCCTCAATACGTAACTCTTAAATTAATTTTTATATAATTTTGTGATTTATTACTATACATTTAAAGGGACAGTTCACCCAAAAATTAACTTTCTGTATGACTTTCTTTATTCTGTGCAACATAAAAGATAATTTGAGAATAATTGTCATTTTGCCCATACAATGGAAGTCAATGGGATCCAGTGCTGTTCGGTTCCCAACACTCCTCAAAATATATTATATTGTTTTCCACAGAAGTCATACAGGTTTAAAACGACATGAGGATGGGGTAAATAATGACCGTTTCCATTTCTGGGTGGAGTGTTCCTTTAAATTTAATATGAAAATCTTTTGTACCTGAACAATGACAATAAAGAGAAGTAGTTTCAGAGGCGGAGTATTTTTATACACATGCACATGTTTTCTGTGATTTTATCTATATAAAGCGGCAAAAAGACCGAAATTGTTACAAACCCCTGACTTCATGAATGAAGGTGACAGATCAATAATGCTAACTTTCGCTTGCATCAAAACAAGCAGGTATTCCTCACATTTTAACACAGAACAGCTTTGTTAAAATGTGTCCTTCTCAGCTGTGTGTGTAAACATTTTGTTGCTGTTATTATGTCATGAAAAGTGAACACGTGTGGCTTAACATTGTTTTTTCATCACCTGAGATACACTGGAAGTTTCAGGGCGTATCAGGATTAGTAATAATCACTGGGTTTGTTTGTGTGCGTGTGACGTGTGACGTCAGCGGGTTCGGACCCAGTAAGGAGAGGCAGGGCGGGACGGAGGGGCGGGGCCTGATATTCATTATGAACTCACACGTCGAGCCTCCTGCTGATATTTAGCGGCTTTTTTAGTGTCAGCAACCGCCCGCTCCACAAAACCCACTGACTGGTCCATGTTGTTCTCAATCCTCTCAATCATACCGCCCTACAGTGGATTTTGGGTGAAGAAGAAAGAAGGAAAAAGAAAGAGAAAAGGAAATAGAGAAGAGAGAGAGAGAGAGAGAGAGAGAGAGAGAGGTGGGGGGCAAAAACAAAGGAGAAAAGAAACAGCAGAAGCCACATTGACTGTTACAGTGAAGTCCGTACCTTCCGGGCTTTACTCTGATACCTGACTGCTTTCTTGGTTTCAGTCTTTGCCACTTCAACGTGATCGACTGCTTTACCTACATTCACCTCAATGTTATCAACCATGTTGCCCTGAAACATAAAAAATATGGTGGAAAAAATGAAACATATGAAAAACACATACAGGGTGTCTTTATCTCTAAAAAAAATACATATCTACAAATACATATACCCAGGTGCACCATGCACACATACAGAGGGGGAGGCCGGGGCTAGTTGTCACACAGGAAAGTAATTCTGAAATTGGTCTTAAAGTGGTAGTTCACCCAAAAATTAAAAAATTTGTTTTCTGTGAAACATAAAAGATGGTATTTTGAAGAATGTTTGTAACCAAACAGTTAATGGTAAGGAGAAAATGACTATGGAAGTCAATAGGGACTAGAAACTGTGTGCTTACTCACATTTTTCAAAATAGCTTCTCTTATGTTCAACAGAAGAAAGAAAGATATACAAGTATGAAAAAATGTAAGGGTAAGTAAATGATGACAGAATTTTAATTTTGGGATGAACTATCTCTTTAAGCAGTCAATGTGTTTAAAGATCTTTTTTATTTTCCAGGGCAATAATGATAAACATGTTCAATATATCTTTCTAGTCAGTACTTTGGCTATATAAAAATTGGCTTTTAAAACCAAACCCGCCCTGATTCATTGGAGTAAAAAGAGTGACAACTAGCCCCGGTCTGCCTTATTCAGTGTTGACACTCTGTAGAACAAGGACTTGAATAAAATGAATTTTCTAGGGAAATACTAGAAGCTTACCGTTCAGTTTTTTCTCCATTGCAAGCAGTTAATAAGCAAAATAACGGTGGATTGGTTAATAATTTATCAGAACTCTTTAGATTGTGTTGAATTAGCTCTGCTCCAAAACCTAGTGAACTGCCTCACTGTTTATAGTCTACACAGACAAACTGAAATTAGCTAATAAGTGATTGGTTTGAAACACATCTGATGGGCCGCAACCCAGTTAAACACTGTTTATGCACAAAATATGCAATACCATTCAAAAGTCTGGGGCCAGTAAAACACTTTTTTAAATAAAGCAATGATGCATTAAATTGATCAAAAGTGATTTACAAACTATTTGTGTGTCAAATAAATGCTGTTATTTTGAACTTTATATTCATTAAAGAATCATGAAGCATCACAACTATTTTCAACAATGATAATAATCAGAAATGTTTCTTGAGCATCAAATCAGCATATTAGAATGATTTCTGAAGGATCATGTGACACTGAAGACTGGAGTAATGATGCTGAAAATTCAGCTTTGATCACAGGAAGAAATTATATTTTAAAATATATTTAGTTATTTATTTATATCTTTAGGTATTTTAAATTGTAATAATATTTTACAAATCGAGGTATCTTATATAAAGAAATATAATTTAAAACATCATCTCAAGGTGAAGGTGTAATGGCCTGGGTGTATAAAGTTTGTGACCAAATAATGTAAATGAATGAAAGGAAAACAGACAGTAAGGGAAATAAAAAGGTCATGCGAACAAAGAGGACAGTTAGAGAGCACTCACATGTGAGAGAGAGGGCTGATGGGAAGTCAGTCCGACCAGCTGCATACGGCTTAGCAACCAACAGAACGAGTTTGAACAAAGAGGAAGAGAGACAAGGATGCTACAGACAGAGAGAGAGAGGCAGAGAAAGACCAGGAAATGCATGACAATGAGGGGGAAGTCAGAAAACACTGACAGTATGAATGGAGATTGATGGAGAAAAATGATGGACAAGCAGATGCGTGATGAACGGAGGAGTGTACCTGGCTCTCCACCAGCATGGCGATGTCCACAAACATGTCATGCAGCTCCTTTATGCTGCTCTCCAGACGCACAATGTCTTTGTGACGTGCTTCAATCTCACTCAGTGCTTGTTTGGAGATCCCTGAATCCACAATCTACAACACAAACGGCGGATTTATCACGCTGTAGCATGAATATACACATTCAACAAAGATATTGATAGTGTGGGGAGTTTTGCTCAGTTTAGAGCAAATTATCACAGGAAACGGTCACAGGATCCAGTAGAGATGGAGTCTAGATCTTGTGGTCTTGGTTTTGAGACATTAATGTGGCCTGAGTTTCATTATTTGATGTCCAGGTCTGAGTCTCAATATGGTCTAAGACAAAGGTCTCAGATTCAAATTACCACTAGCCAAGTGGTGTTATGACCAGTTAAACGGTTACAACAAATACCTCAGAGGGAACATTACGTTAAAAGCAACATGCTACATCGTTACATTGTTATTTCTAATATAAAGTAACCATTTGCATTGCATTTTACTTCATATGAAAAGTAATGTGTTATTTGCATTACATTTGCATTATAAAGTGTGTAGGTGGGCTACTTCTCTACTGCTGTGAAGTCACCACAAAAGCTGCTTTGAAGTAGCTTTTATGCTATAAGTAGTGCTGTCAAACGATTAATCGCGATTAATCGCATCCAAAATAAAAGTTTCTGTTTACATAATATATGTGTATTATACATAATATATTTTCAAAATATATACTGTATGTGTTTGTATTTCTATATACATAATACGTCTACACAGTACACATAAATATATTATGTAAACAAAAACTTTTATTTTGGATGCGATTAATCGCGATTAATCGTTTGACAGCACTAGCTATAAGATAAGGGTGTATTTACACAGCAAGCACAATCACAGGAAACAATGAATAATTCAAATGTTACATTCAATACAAAATATCGCTTCCTGTGATGATTCATATCCCAGCTAGAGTGCACATATTTTAATACAGCTTATATGTTGCATTAGAGGTGGACATTATGACCAAAATCTTATTTTGTGCCACTTTAAATCCACAATGTCAAGAATTTTTACAATTAATTACAAAAAATAATTACAATTAAATTACATATTTAATCCTAACTATATATATTTTAAAAACTTTAATTATAATTTTATTGATATCAAAATAATAATACATTTTACTGATTATTATAAAACGGTTAGTTCCAGTCCTCGATTCTGATTGGTCAGCAGCTGTGTTTTATTCAAGATACAGCATGGCTATGACCGCTTCACCCAACAGTTCTGTGTATCACTGAGCAACACCCTTAGCAACATAAACAATCAATAATATAGCATAAAAACTGTTCCATGTATTATGCATTTCGGCAAAATGAACTGTTTGTTGTTTATTTAATGAAGTATGCGTGACCCCTGCTGGTGATGTTGCATCTTTCATCTTTATTTCTGAGACCACGCCCTTCCCCGTCTAATAAAGTAAACGCTTCTCATGTGGAGATATGTTGATGTGTGTGCGCGTCTGTGTGAAAGCCCACAGTTTCCGAAGAAAGAAGGGAATATTACTGTATTTATTAGTTTTCTGTTTCAGGTATGGTTCTGTATGTCCATATGTCCATCAATTTACACTGTAATGATGCTTGCAAACTCGCGCTGTGCCATGAATCGGTCTGTTTTAAACTAAAAGACGGAAAACAGACATTTTCTGCTGAGAGACAAGCAGATGTATGTGTGCGAGAAAATATCATATATGGTGTTAAAACAATAAATGACACCGCGGATGATAAGAGCTCTTATTCTCTGTTGCTGTCAGGAACTATTTTTTTTAGCGGAAGAACAGCATTTAACGAACTTGCTTCAAAAAAGTAACATATCAATACATAAATTTTGTTTTTCATATTGTGTGGTAACCATTTTATAAAAGCAATAAGGTACCCGAGGCCATGCTGTATTGTGAATAAATCACGGCTGAAAAATAATAACATTTCAGAATTCCAGAAATTTTAAGAGCTGAATGTTATTCAGGAATCCTGTTCTTATAAACAATAAATTTCCATGACTTTTCCAGTTATTTGTGATTTACTGGATAGGGATTTAAAAATATATTTTTTTACTCACAGTTTCTACCCAATAAAATATTTTAAATGTTGGGTTTGTTTGCTTGCACAACATCAGAAAGATCAGGCCCTTCCTAACGGAGCACTCTGCACAACTTCTTGTCCAGGCCTTTGCCATTTCTAGGCTGGACTACTGCAATGCTCTTCTGGCTGGACTTCCATCAAGCACAATCAAACCTCTACAAATGATTCAGAATGCAGCGGCACGTCTGGTCTTCAACAAGCCCAAAGAGCCCATGTTACACCTCTCTTTATATCCTTGCACTGGCTACCGGTTGCGGCTCGCATCAAGTTCAAGACATTGATGCTTGCATATAGAACAGCCACAGACTCAGCACCCGCCTACTTCCACTCACTCTTACGAATCTACATCCCCTCCAGAAGTCTGAGATCCACTAGTGAGCGACGCCTCGTGGTACCATCACAGAGAGGCTCAAAATCACTTTCCAGAACATTCTCGTTCACCGTTCCTGGCTGGTGGAATGATCTTCCCAACCCTATCCGGAATGCTGAATCCCTGACAATTTTCAAGCGACAGCTGAAAACTCATCTCTTTCGACGCTACTTGACTTCATATAAACAGTTGTTACGTTAAATAAAATAAGAAATATGTTGATTTGTAGTTGTTTTATCTTATTTTTAAAACATTTTAAGTCATCTTGAGGCTCCCTGGTTGACAACCAAAAAAAAAAAAACCCAAAAAAAGGTACAAAGCTGTCACTGGGATGGGACCCTAAGTTACAAAAGCTAAAGGGTACATCTGATCTAGTGTATTATTTAACCCTAGTACATATTAGTACTAAGTGTATATTAGCACCTAAAGTGTACCTATTAGTATCTTTTAAAAGGCTACGGCCACATTGACAGCTTTGTACCTCTGTTTCTGAGTGCTGGTTTAGATTATGGATCTCTTGCACTGCCTATGGGAGCATGTTATAAGGAAGGGAAAGGTTTTGAATTGACTCCAGTTCTGCCACACACACACGCACACGCATGCATTACCCCCGCTGTGAAAACGGCTGCGTTTCCTCCCTCCAGCATCTCCTCCAGCTCCTCATCAGTTGTGGCTTTACCAGCTAGAGCGAGAAGCAGAACAAAAGCAAGTCAAAGACAGAAAAGGGGAATAGCACAGTGTCAGTTTGACAGAGTTCAACCACAAGCTTAAGAAAGAAACGTTTTGTACGCAGTACACTGTTTGATAAGAGCTGTCTCATGCACTGCTGTTTAGTGAGGAGTGAGCGTGCGGGCCAAACTTACTGATCTCTAATTGTCTCTGAATGCGACCTTTGCTTTTCTCTAAAGGTGGATAAATGGCTCACATTATTCTGGGTCAGAAGTGTTTGAAAAGCCAAATCTAGTTCTTTGTGGCCTATTTTTTATTACCTAACGAGAAAAGCACAAAGCAGGGCAGTATATGTGTAAAGACACTAGCAGGCCTGTATGCATGTAAATACACTTACTCTTCAGTTTGTTACGAGCATTGTTGGCCATTTTCTTGATATCGTTAGTAAGCGCCTCCAAATCATCCTGTGTTTCTGTTCACAGAGAAGAAAACAGAAGTTAAGCAGATAGATAAGAATGGAGACATGAAAAGGAGACTGACTGCTGGTTTGTGTGTGTTTTGTCATTGTTAAACACTCCTAGAGGAATGTTTTATTGCTCAGAGGTTGTTCTTTCTAAGCTTAGGAGACTAAATCGAGTTTCATGTACACTACCGTTCAAAAGTTTGGGCTCTGGATTTTTCTTTGAAAGAATTCTGTACTGTACAACTTACTGTAATGTATCATGTCTCATTTAATCGACTTCAATAAAAACTGTTAATAAACAATATGTCCTGTAACACTTACCTCAGGAAAGCCATGCAATATTGATAATTCATTAGTCAACTTGAGAGGAGCATTTTGCTAAATGCACTATACTACATATTCATTATATGTTTACTTAACCTGTTAGCCAGGTCTTGTTAATCTATACTGCCATGAGTATATGAAAGTTTATATTAAAACTGGTTTGTGTGCAAATTAAATGTTTGTATACAAATCTGTGTCAATACCCAGCCCTAGGTCTCTTTTGATAACATTGATAACATCTTGATAACATTAAATAATGCATTATGTATTGTAAATTATTAAAAACATTTTTACAACAATTAATCAATTGTTCGCTGTTAATACATATTTCTTCGTAATTTATCTAATGTTAACTTATACAGCTTGATAGGTTAAAAATGTATTAGCACATGTACACTGTAAAAAATATAATTTTATATTAGAACTTGGCAATGTTTTAGGCAACATGACAATGTTTCAGGTATTACTGGATAGCATATAGGTTCCTGTGTATTTTACAATGAACAGTAAGTAAATAGCAGAAAATGTGACTCAAAACACCCTAATGTACATTAATGATTAAAAAATGAGAAGAAACTAAATTATGTAAAAAAAATAATCATATGTGATTATATCCTTTTATTCATTTATATAAGCTGTATTTTTTGGTGTTTTGCCTTTATTTAAATAGGACAGTGTAATGACAGTAAGTGAATTGAGAAGAGGGGGCGGGATCAGGAAAGCTCCACGAGGCGGGATTCGAACATGACATGTCCTTTTATTGTTTTTCGCTGTAAATTATATGGTAGTTTCCTATGAATTTGACCAAATTTGACAGTATTTTTGTCACAGTTAGGGTACAACGGGGCTAAAGGTATACCTTAAGAAAAAATATGCTATTCACTGCGCCTAAAATGTATAATTGCAGAAAAAATACATACGTTTGTATTGAACGTTAATGAAACAGCAGATTTTGTGTGAAGCGTGCTGGCAGGGCAACATGAGGGCAGAGTTAATAGAGTGTGTATTTGTGTGTGTTACGTGAGAGGGATGTTGACTCACCTGTGATTTGCGTATTCTCAAGTCAGCTGATACTCTTTCCACTTCTTCCATCTCGAGATTCCTTTCAATGGCTGTACAGACACACACACACACACACACACGCACACACACACACACAAACACACTGTATTGAACGTTAATGAAACAGCAGATTTTGTGTGAAAATAAATCATACAAGTCGTCTATTTTGTTTAAAAATCTTATAAATGTTTGAGGTGGCAAGAGGGGCCTTTTACCCCACACACGGGGTAAAGGCTCAACAGCATGGGGTAAAAGGCACACAGTTTTGATACAAATACTTCAGCTAAAATAATGTTTTTTTTAATAATGTCTACTGTAAGTTAATACCTGTTCAAAACAATCACTTTAGCAAAGTTTGTACTATTTTATGCTTATTTTGAAAAATACAAGAATTAATTTTTGTTCAATAAATATACTGTCATTAAAATATGTTAATATAAAAATATATTTCAAAATACAGAAACAAAATCATTTTAAAAAGTAAAGATTCTGAAAGCATTGAAGGAGATCTTATAATAATTGAATATAGATTTACAGTAGTAAAAACAAATTATATTTGATTATATGATATGATTAATATCATGTTTTTAAATATGAAATGGTTTCATTCTAAACATGGTGATTATCTCTAATATGGACACCCAACATAATATATTATATTTACCATCTGAATCTAACCATGTCATGTCAAGAAATGGAAAAGTCAGCCATCTATTAATTATCATGTTAATTATTGTGCCTTTAGCCCCAACAGCAGGGGCGCTTTTTACCCCAAATACCATACTTTTACATATTCTTTCGCTATCTAAATTCTGTTGCTTGAATTATCTTAAACAAAAATCATTAAGAAGACCTTTGTCTCAAAATATATGCATTCATTTGAGCGATTCTCATTTGCTACTTAAATCTACAACATTTTAAAAAACATAAAATATTAGATCAAGTAAGCACAGAATCAACTTTGCACTGCTGCGTCAAGGATCAGCCAAATATACAGGTGCATCTTGAAAAGTGAATGTTTTGGAAAGTGCTAAGCCACGTTTTTGTGCCATCTAGTGGTTTAGATGAAAATAATATCACAGGCGCCTTTTACCCGGGGGCGCCTTTAGCCCCATTGTACCCTATGTTTAGTTAGGTTCATTTTCATGGCTTTTAGTTTTTCTCATCACCTTATCGTCACTTTCCTGTTTCCTTTTTCTAGCTTCTTGCCATTCATCACACTCATTAATCATCACAGCTGTTTGTCATTTTTGGTTCATCATCACTGTGTATTTAAGTTCCTCTTAGTTTTCTGTTCATTGTTGGTTATTGTTTTGTACACACTGTTACACGTTTGGACTTTGCTCATTAAAATGACCTTTGTTTTGTAACTTTTGCCTTTTCTTCATCTTTGGAACTTGCTAAAACGTGACAATTTTACAGTAAAATTTACATATAATGCTATGTTAAACCAATGACAATTTTTCACTGTATATGGTAAGTTAACAGTTAATCAATTAACACGTTTTTAATGTAACATTTTTACAGTTTTTAAGAGATGTGATGTTCTAAACATTTTTACAGTGTTAAAATTAACATTTAGCAAATGCAGTAAAAATATTGTTGATTGTTAGTTCATGTTAAATATTGCATGAACTAATACTAATGAACAGAACTTTATTGTTAAGTGTTACACTAATGCATTAACACTACACACTAGTTGTTATATAACAACATTACTACAGTATATGACTCATGTTCAATAGACCTCAGAGTCTATTTCACCTGTTACTACCAGACAGTGGAAAACAATGCTGAACTGGGCCAAAAAGCCCACAATGAGTGCACATGTGAACGTCTCTTACTCTGGTCAGATGTTGGTGCAGAAAGAATAACTGAGTAAAGTTTCTTCACTTCGGCCACATTCTCGTCGATCTTATTAATGCTGTTCCTGATGTCTTCAATCTGAAACAAGCAAATAAAGTCACTTAAAATGCACAAACACCACAGTGGCACACATTCATAATAAAGCACATCAAAAGTGTTTTCACAAACACACACTGTAAAACACACAGAAGGACATGCCTGGGAGAAAAACTCATCCATAAAGGCAGGGTTGTCCACGGCGATCTCAACATCTTCATCATCATGGTCGCATGTCTGAAACATAAAACAAGAAGTGCTTTACATTTTATGTATATTTTTTATTATTACCATAAATGCATTAAGCAGAGTTGGGCTAAGTAGGATGGGAACAGGCCACAAACAGAGGCTGTGACGTGTGACGCAATATGTTGATGATACTTGTAAGGCGATAAGAAAATGTCATGTAAAGAAATAAGGAAATATAATTTGTTTTAATGATCTCATGCTGTTTTTCTATACACCCTTATATTGATATGACTGGTAAGTAAATCACTCTCACTAATTTACTGTCTATGCACAGTGCATACTAAATTACAATTTAATACACATTTAGAAAGATATTTAAAGGGGTAGTTCACCCAAAAATAAATATTCTCTAATCATTTAAACACATTTAAATTGTTCCAAACCTGTACGAGTTTCTTTTTTCTGTTGTGCACAAAAGAAGATATTTTGAGTAACCACACAGCTGCTGACTAATTTACTGTCTATGCACAGTGCAGACTAAATTACAATTTAATACACATTTAGAAAGATATTTAAAGGGGTAGTTCACCCAAAAATAAATATTCTCTAATCATTTAAACACATTTAAATTGTTCCAAACCTGTACGAGTTTCTTTTTTCTGTTGTGCACAAAAGAAGATATTTTGAGTAACCACACAGCTGCTGGTAGCCATTGACTTATATAACAATAATTGCCAATAACAATAATTGACAATCAAGAGCTTGTTGTGGTAGATAACCCTAATTTTACTTCTAGCATTTTAACCCTTTCAAACCCTTTTTCAGCTAGTTAATAAGCTAACTTGTTCAAAATCACAGATAGATTGCTAACAAATCAAAAGTGACCCATCTCATATTTATGAAACATAATCATAAAAACCATGACATGAATCAGTAAAACACATCATAGCAATCAGACAGCCATGTGTCATCTTGTTGAAAAGGGCCCAACTGCTAGAATACAAGAAGCATATTTATTCCATGCACAACAAGTGTTTTTTATAAATAAACACTATTAAATAAATAAATTGGTAAATAATAAATATTTTGAATTAGCTTTTTTGTATTTTCAGTTCCCTTTCGAACGGTCTCTCCCGTTGCATGAGACGCTAAGGGGAAAACTCCTGTTTTACTCTGTACTGAAGCCTGATTTGTTCACGTTTGTGTAGCTGCACAAACCAATGGCGCTTTAGCCCGTTAGAAAGGGCGGAGCCGACCCTTATATAAGTCGGCTCAGAGCACCATTCTTTAGATCATTCTCCTTCAGCAACGAGGATCATCTCTTCGCTGACTCTGGAAGAAGCCGAGAAGAAGAACCCTGAGGAAGAAGAAGCTCCAACTCTGCTCGCCGCCATCGAAGATGCCCAAGCAGCGAGCAATCCCTGCAGCCATCCGGCGCATGAAGAGCAAACCAGAGAGCGAATTTCCTAAAGAGCAAATTTCAGCACGCGTTGTTGCAAATGTCGCGCCGCGAGTGTGGCTCATGCAAGGATCCCTTGCATGAGATGGACGGACACAGTGAGTGCGTCGCCTGTCTCGGCAGCGCCCACGCAAAGGCTGCGCTCACTGAAGGCTCATGCTCCCATTGCGAGAGTATGAGTCTTTCCCATCTCCGCTCGCGGATCGCCTCGCGGTCCCCCTCGCTCAGCTCTCCCGTTTCCTTTCTCTCCTAAGAGAAAGAAACAGTGGAGCAGCAGGTCCTTCTCAGCGGGTTTGAGCGGTGTCACGTCGGCTCAGTGCCCACATGCCCCGCCCTCCCCGCGTCCTCTCGTCTTGCCGGTGTGTTTCACACAAGAAGACCAGCGCCCTTATGCAGTGGCCGGCCAGGCCGGGTCAGCGCTGCATACAATGGCGGTTCTCCAAGTGTTTCAAGCCAAGCTGTTCCGCAGTATGGACGAGTCTGGCCAAGAACACCAGGAGGCTTTCAAAGAGCTGCGCACAGCCACAGACTCTGGTTAAACCTCACTGAGATCAGGGACACTGAGAAGATGGCTTTCCTCGACTCGCTGGACTCGCCGAAGGGCCTGTTTGGCCCCGCTGGGGATGGGTTTGCAGAAAGGTTTTCGGAGGCTCAGAAGACGTCGCAGGCACTGCATCACTTCCTCCCCAAAGCGCCCTGGCCCCACGGCTGCGGGCCGCCAGAAGAATCCTGCCACTCAGCCTGCAAAGCCGGCACAGCCTCAGCCTCAACGGAAATCTGAGCCTTGGCTGCAGCAGCGCCCCCGGACGGCGAAACGCTTCCCCTTTCCAAAGCGTCAAGGTCTCCGCCCACGAGTTGTACTGGACCCCGAGCCACCTAAGCCATCCTGATGCGCTAGAGAGGAAGAGGAAGAGGAGGGGCTCTGTTCTCGCCTCGGCCAGAACAGCCCCGCAAAACAGCTCGGTTTCATCCTCCATTCCTCCGACCACCAGTTTCGTTTCCAGCGGGTCACATCCTGCAGGTGCAGCGCATACCCGAAAGTTTTACTACTGTGATAGCGGACCCACATACAATAAAGAGCTATTTCTTCACACTCTCTCACACACTCATGTGAATGCAAGTTCCCCACCTTCTCTCGGCGAGCTCTCATTCGCAAAAAAAATAAACCCCTCTCGCCTCCCGTTTCACGGCTTGGGCAGCCATTCCGGGAGTGTCCAGTTGGGTTTTTAAAAAAATTCAGCGAGGTTACCACCTCGCTTCAGAGGCGTTATTCAAAGTTCTATTCTGGACAACGAAGCACTCGTTCTCCGACAAGAAGTGCAGACATTGCTTGCAAAAGGTGCTGTGGAAATAGTGCCGTCAGCGAACAGCGAGTCAGGCTTTTTCAGCCGCTACTCCCTCGTTCCAAAGAGAGATGGCGGGCTCAGACCCATTCTGGATCGCAGACGTCTGAACCACTCGCTTATGCGCCGGTTGTTCAAGATGTTAACTATCAAACAGATCCTCGCGCACATTTGCCCCAAGGACTGGTTTTTGACAGTGGATCTGAAAGATGCATACTTTAACATCCACATAGCCCCCCATCACAGACAATTCTTGAGATTCGTGTTCAAGGGAGTGGCCTATCAATATACAGTCCTTCCTTTTTGGACTTTCTCTGGCCTCGCGCACTTTCATGAAGTGCATAGATGCGGCTCTTTCCCCTCTGAGACAGATGGGAATCCATATTTTGAACTACCTCGACAATTGGCTGTGTAGCGTCTGGACCAATCAGACACACCATTTGTCATTTGATTTAACAAATCAATTATTCATTAGATTAACAAACATTCACAGACCCCTCACCCAATAAGTGCAGCTCTCAGCAGCAGCCTCGTGGCCCATTCCGTTGAGGAGGAACCTTCTCTTGCAGGCAAAAGGCATGATTTGGCATCCCTGGCCGGAGCTGTGGAGCCTTCATGTATGGTGCCTCGACGCAAGATGACTTTACAGCCTAAAATGGTCGGTCTTCCTTAACTGGTATTCTGCAAGAAGTTTGGACCCGATATCATGTGACGTGTCCCATGTGCTAACCATTTTGCAAGAGCTGCTGGATAAGGAGCGCCCCCTCCACACTCAAAGTGTATGTGGCAGCTATCGCAGCGAACCATTCTCTCGAAGCTGGCCAATCGATCGGCAGAAACGACCTGATCGTTAAGTTCTTGAAGGGTGCACGGAGGCTGAATCCTCCTTGCCTTCAGACCGTGTCATCTTGGGACTTGTCTATAATGCACACCTAACATTCAATCAAATGCAAATGTTTAATTTAAATTCGACTAATATTCATTTTTTATTCACAATCTCCTCATCAGCAGGATATGCTGTATCTGCTCATAGCGCGGCGTGATTGGATGCGTCCCCCTTAGCGTCTCACGCAACGGGAGAGACCGTTCGAAAGGGAACACTCCAGTTACTGACATAACCTCGGTTCCCTGAGATAATATTTATATATAAATATTCGTCTAATATTTATATTTGAAAAATTTTCAGCTTCATTTCAATCAACATAAAGTTTTAGTTAATATTAACAACGCTGATTCACACATTCAACTACAGCTACAAGGGTGTTCATACAGGACACGTTCTTGTGTTCAAAAACAACTGAATGAAGCGCAACAAAATGAACCAGAACGGACAGGTCTGGTGTTCTCTATTTTCCAACTTAAAACATGAAATGTTCCCCAGTAGCCAATAAAGACAAAATTTGTAAAAAGTAGCACAGATGGAATGCAAAAAGAATGGATCTTTTGGATTATTTTGCTTATTGCTTACTAAAACATGAACGGAATTTGGCATAAAAAGCCACATTTTTACTTACATCAGATGATCTGATTAAAACAACCCGAAGCAAAGCACAACATGGTGCATGGATCCTAAATAAATACTCAAAAAGTGAAAAGACAAACCAACATGGCTAAAACAAGGGATATTTCCAGGTCACGCTGTACATAGTCACTGATGCATATGGTACCTGTATTAATAATAACTGAATATGTTATCAATGAATGACATATTCGTCATCAATATATTGTTCACCTCTTGTAAAGTCACAAGTTTATAATCTAGTTCTCTTTAGATTTGGGTTATTTTATGTTTAGTTAATGGGTTTTGTTACTAAAATGCACTTTAAGAACATGGTTCTTACATTGATCGTCACATGAACATCCGGTATTACAGGGCTCTGCTGACGAGGCACATTGTAAGCTGCCGTGAATCAACAGAAGGACTGCTGGATTAGCAAATCTACATTTTATTGCATGTAAAGTCTGCTTTAATATAAAACTTGGCTGAAGTATAATGAAGTACATTCATGAACTAGGGTAAATAGTGATTTCGTGTGGACTTTAGAAATGAAATAACTGCCAATGTGTCTTGCACTGCACTTTTATATGCCAAGCACATTAAGGTGTGTCTTGTGACGTTTTATAAAGAGCATGTGGAGACCAGTACTGTTTTCCACTTACTAATAGCTTTACTGTCAAATGACATAACAGCAATTTAACGCACTGACGCTGTCAGAGAACAGAGATTGGCGCGTGATAGCATTATA